AGTGTAAGACAGCAATATAACAGTAATAAAATTTGGGAAGGAGAATGAAATGAAGTTATAATGGTTTTCGTAAGCCTCTGTAAAAAAACGTCCTCCAAATATTCTGAGAATAAAAAGTTCGTATAACAGAAAGGAAATGGCAGCAGAGTGAAGAAATGCACAGGACAAAAAGAAGAAGTCAGAGAATACGTAAAATGACAGCACCCCCTCCCTCCTCTAACAAACTTCTATTTAATGAATTCCCGTCCAATCATAATCATTGAGTCTAATATTCTTTTTCCTCACGCGCTTGCTTCCACGTGTTTCTTCCACCCTCATGTTTTCATGGTCTTTCCTCGTTACAGAGGAGCTGAGATATGTCGCTGTGACATCTGCTTTGTCATTAGAAATTTTCAAATAGAAAACATTTGTAATGAATCCACAAACCTTACATCTCTCATTCATCATCCCTCAAACACAATTTTTTAAAGTTTTCTGTGTTTTAACCGACTTGATCCAAATTTCATAACATGTCTGCTTTTATTATTCTCAAGAGTATCAAAATAACTACCCTTTTCCGTTAGATATTCCTACGAGTTGCGGAAGGTGAATTAACTTGTTTTGTATTCAGATTATTGATTTTAGGTTTGTCAATCCTTGAGATCGAAATGGATTAAAATTAAGGAACTGGGGAACTGGGATAAATTCAATACTAAGTTCAATCACATCTTATTTAATTGTTCCAAAGATTATCCAAATGTCTTTTTTAATTCCAATTAAAAAGAGAACTGGTTTTTGTATATTTCCAGTCTAACTGAAATCAGATATTGGTCTGTTGTTATCGTAGACTCTCAATTAACTATGTATTAATTGTTTTTATTGGGTTCTTTAAGTGTATATACTTTCCTAGACTGTAATCTGAAATCCAATTTTGAATGCTTTAAATTTCGCATTGGCACTGTTCTTGAGTATAGCTTTAAAGCATTGCTAAAACCAACCAGCTTAGAACTATATTTATTTATCTCAAAATAAAAAAACTTATGTGCATTATCTTTAACGATGTTTAGTATTTTAGACTACTGATAGATATTGAATTGATGTTTGATTTGACTGCAATTAGGCCTACGAGAAATGCTTTCAGAATTTGCATTACGTAGAGCGACATGAGGAGCATACAATTGCCCATGCAATTCAAACTTCTTATAAAAAGACCAAGGTAGTGAATTTCTTATCTTTCTTCTAGGAGTTACCTCCCCCATTTATGTCATGAAAATTCCTCTTCCATTAGAAACATTGAGACGTTTTAAATTAGTTGTCTTAGATGAGTATGAGATTTTCCTGTCTGTATATGTTATATAGATATAGATGCAGATTTCATGTCATCTGCATTATTCCATAGGTGTATCTCTGGCCTGCTCCAACAACAACTGGTATGAAAGCTGGCAGAACAGTCGAATCCATACTGCACTTGGCTGGTTTAAAGAATGTCAAGTCTAAGGTAACTGCTGTCTAGAAAAATTGAGCACGGTCAAGTATTTCAGTGTTTGGTTGCTCAAATTTTGACTGTTTTGATAGGTCATTGGTTCCAGAAATCCTCATAATACAGTTAAGGCTGTCTTCAAAGCACTTAATGCGGTTAGTAATTCGTCTTACTGATGTTGCAAAGCAACTTTTCCCTGTGATATCTCATGTGGCATTTCTTGTCTGTTCCAGATTGAAACACCAAGGGATGTTCAAGAGAAGTTTGGTAGGACTGTGGTTGAGAAGTATCTGTTGTGACGGATATGGCGATGTGGTGAGTTCAGTCTTTTGGTTGTCTTCCATTTAATTTATTAATTGTACTTTTCAATCATGTGCATTTACCGAGAATGGAAGGGAGTTTTCCGAACGAATTACTTGTGAACATTAGCTATGGAATTTTGGCTGTAACTTTTCTTTAGCAAACGCAAAAGGAACAATAGTTTAGGAAATGTTCCTTTTCGTTTGTGTTTTTCCTCGCATTTTGAAGCATTCTACCCACACTTGCATTCAATCTACAATCCTATACCCTCCTTCAAGAAAGGATAGTCAAAAGTGGGAGAGCACACAACTTCAGTGAATGATGTTTGACAAAATACAAACGCTCCATCATTTACAGTGATACGTGGAAACTTAGTTTAACATTTTATTACAAGTTCTTCTTATTCACGGTGTTGCTCTGCCTTTCTGCCTTTAAAATACATATTTCCTATAATATCTTTGTACCTCAAATTCAATCAATTTTCTTCTAGTTTTCTCTTTTCATTAGAAATATTTTTGCATTTCAAAAAGGGAATACATAGAAAATTTCTAAACTTAAGATAAGGAAATACCCCCCTCCCTTATTATGTTTCATTGAAAATTTAATACACTTAAGTATATTCTTAGATTTAACTCAGACGCATAAATGAATCTTATCTCGGTCTCGATATTTAGTGTATACACACACAACATTTGGCTTCAGGTTTTTTATTTTTATTTTTTGCTTTGACGTTATTCTTATTTTTTTAATATTGTATGGTGAAAATAGAAAAAGTGAGAGTTTAATTTTTTTTTCAAACGATTCTTAAAATCAACAGGTTTCTAATATATAGAAATAGAATAAATACCACTGCAATAACTATGAAAAAGATGTCTTTGAAAAGCAAGGTAGAATCCAGGCCAATTTATTCCTGCTTTCTTATATTTACCTTGCTCAAAAATGCAATTTAGAATACATTAAAAAGTTTAAGCTACACGTGTTGGAAACATCAAACATATAACGAGGATTATGGAATGTATAATCTATATTCAAGATAAGTAATTTTGAAACATTAACAAAAACGAGCAATGAAAAATATAAAAAAACAGGAGGGATCATATGAAATTTAAAGTGTACTATTGTAGGGGTTGTTCAAAACCACTTTTTTTTTAATTACTTAATCTAAAATAAAATGAAATAAAATTGTTGTGGATGAACAAATCTAAAATTAATTATAAGTGTGTTTTTTGTAAACTAGTTCAATTCATAATTGTCAACTTTATAATTATGGATTATGATACTTGGAATCTAATTTTTACATTCAGAATCATACTTTCTAAAAGGTTCGTTCAACATTTCTGAAAGGCCCAGTCCAGAAAATAACACTAAAAATAGAAATATTGTCATATTTTTTTTAAAAACTGAGAGTGTCACAAGAGAAGGTAAAATGTAGGAAACACCAACCTAAAACGAATTAAAAAAGTAAATAAGTTAAAATATTTGAACAAAATCATATTATTCTTCCACGTCTATTATTGAACGGGATGATCTTGAAAATAAGAAGCTTTCGTGGACCAAAGGGAAAATTTCATTTTTTTAACATATTTTCACCAGTGAATTTTCACGTCATGTTATTTTGACAAATTAAAAAAAGGGAACATTCTATATTGTTTTATTTTCTATATATTTCAGGGGAAAACAACTACTTTCATTACGCCCCTATATTATTCAATGATTTAATTAAATTCATAGCAATTTCCCCATATAATCTACTTATTATTTTACCTTAAGAGAGTTAAACCTGATTTCGTTAGAAAATAAGTCTAAAAATATTATAAAAAGAAAAAGTGTGTCAGATTTTCGTTTTCCCATAAAAGCTTTTGTTCCAATTTTTTATTATATTCTTATTTATATAATGAAATGAACACACAATTCAACAGCGGGGATAGCTCAGTTGGGAGAGCGTCAGACTGAAGATCTGAAGGTCACGTGTTCGATCCACGTTCACCGCATAACCTTTAATTTTTAGTATTTTCAGTTTCTCGACTTTTTTTTTTAATTTATTTTTCAGTTCTTTCCTCTGCGAAGCCAAAAGAAAGAGTAATGATTGAAAAAGAGAAAAAAATGATAGAATGGAAGTGCATGTCAATGGTTGTTGCATCTTGCAATAGTACGAAAAGCATTAATACTTTTTTCTTTAACGTCTCTGAGATGTTGTTAGATTGATATGCAACAGCCTCACAAATTGTACTAAAAGGAAAAACAAAACAAAAAAATAATAAAAGAAGAAAGAAAATTGCGTATAGATTCAATGTGTGTGAGTGGAAACAGCAATTGAAAGTTGATGATAATTATTAAGGAGAAGTTTCTTTTTCAAGTGTTTGTCCTGAACAACCCCAAAGCTCACATTCAGTATTGTTCCCTGTTTCACTGATTTTACATTATCTCACATTATCTCATCACTATTACACTCACATCATCGTAACTTTCCTTCCTCTACTGTCCTTCAAAATCTCTCATATACTTCTCTTTAGAACCACTCTTTCACATTTTACATTACTATTCTCCACTTTTTCATTTTTAATTCATCTTCACTTAATTTAATGCTAATATTTTCAATATATATATTAAATGTGAATCTATTCCCATACATATATTTCTCCGTACAGGAGTATTTTATAACCCTCTCATTATTCTTAATAAAATATATTTGTTTCGACCTTTCTCATGAAAACTTTTGATATCATATAATATTATTTTTATCTCAGTTTACTATAGAGATCAAGTTATCTTCATTTCACCGTTTTGTGAAATTCAATTTAAACTGAACTAAATATGTTTTTAGTTTTAAAACTCAAATCTAAAATTAAAATTTGTTTTTATTTTAAATTTTAATATATTTTGGTTTTTAAATCTAAAACTATACTGAATATAATCTTTTTAATTCTACGTGTAAATTTTTTATATGTTAAACTATGCTTATTTATCTTTTTAAGTTTGAGAATCAAAATTGTTTCCAACTATGGGATTGAGATTCTTAATTCTCCAAACTCCGTCCAATTCTTTATAAGCACTACTTTTTCTTTATTTTATTTGGTCGTGTTAGGAAACTTGTAACAATTAATACACAATAAATATAAATTATTAATCTCGTGTATTTATAATTTTTAGTGTGAGACGTTAATTAATGAAAACATAATTTCAATCCAATAGTTAGTAATTTTGTGTTTTGCTCTAAGCTGATAATTAGTAATACTAATATCTTGTCCAAATAACTATTTGGCTTTTGACATAGATAGGATCGTACAATCCATCTCGCGAATATAACCTTATTTAAAACAAAAATAAATTATAATTTTTTTTGTTCAAAATTAAGAATAAAAAATATATTTAAATTAATTAAATATAACTAATATAATAACACTTATATAACTTACTGAAAAAATTATTAGATTTAAATTCAAACTTCATCTTATAAAGTTAGGAATAAATTTGGTTGTTGATATCTGTTTTCACCTTTCATTTTATTTTAATTAAAGTAGTTTTATTTTTGATAATTTTTTTGTCACGAAAGAAACATTCGAAAAGAGAAGATAAATGAGAAAATTTTGTTGTGATTTAAGTTGTTGTGGTGTGTTTATCTTTAGCATAAATTCTTTAGAAAAGATCCATAGTCGAAAACGACGAGTTACAAACTATTAATAAGAGAGTAAATTATGAACATGCATTTGTTTGCTCTTCCATTTTTTCTCTTTTCACTTTCCTTTCGTTTTCAAGAATCCCGTAACTTTTGGGTGTTGGGTGGTTACCAAGCATTCAAACAAATTCCAATGCATCTTTTTTTCTTCTTTACTTTCATAATATAAATACATTACTACTCTATAATTTTTTTTATATTATATTTCAAATAATATTTTTAAATATAATTTCATTACGATAAAGACACCTTCATTTATTTTTCTTATATTAAAAGGGGAAGAAAAAATTCTTAAAATAAAGTCTTTTTGGATCTTTATCCATCACATTTAGTCCACAATTTTACGTATATAACATCCCGTAATCTCACACTTGATAATTCATAATTTATATATTGTAGCATTACGTTTAAGGTAACATCCCTTGATCTCACACTTGATAAATTTATATATTGTAACATTACATTTAAGGTAACATCCCTTAATCTCACACTTGATAAATTTATATATTGTACCATTACATTTA